CGTAATTCCCGACGGGAATAGTCCGACAAGCCTGGTAATTGGTTAGTATAAGAACCGCACGTTATTGCATGGAATGATACTGTGTTATTTTGTCGTTAATGCGTAGCCTAGCCCCTTTTCTCGTGCATATTATGCAAAGTTGATAGCAATACGATACCCGTCTAATTCAATGAAGAACGTCTCCTCGCAAGAATTCTCATTTCTATTCTCTCAGTCTGTTGAATAGTATTACCGGTGTGTATTTATTATTTCTAAAATGCGATTAGCCGTTGTTTTGGATGCACTTTGAAACGCGTTATTATGGTTATTATCGTCACTACTATTATGTGCCTCCGAGTGAAGTAGAATAGAGATTTGCTAGTGTACGAGCCGTCCAACGCGAAATGAAAAAGATTAGCAATTATCGCGAAATAAAATACTATAATTGCAAATGGTACAGCGTTGTATAAATTGTGTGCACCGAGCCAATTGTCGGCATATGCAAATTAGCAGAGTCTCGTTTGCACCCAAGCATTGTGTTGTATTATATTATAGTACTTTTTCCGTTTGTCGTCCATTAGAATGCGGCGGCGGCGGCCCGTCTACACGTGTGTTCGAGTATAGTGCGTGTGTGTGCGTCCCGCGACGATTACTATCTTTTTCTGTTGGCATCTCGTCTCGTATACCTCCTCACTACTTTATCTACTTGGGTATAATGGCCGTCGAAGCCACTCTGACCGCTTATGTATAATCCTTTCAAGCAACGGACAAACCGGTTATATTTAATAAAAAATGGCTATTACCATACAGCCAACAACAATATACGTTATAATCTGTTGAATGTTTTTTAAAAATTGTTTTTCATGTTCCTTGTAATGCATATATTACCTTTACAATCTTATAATTTTAAAATATCTGATCACATTTTTATCATTATTGTTTTTAAAAAAATTCGGTACAACGTAGTTTTTTATTTTTATTTTTTTTTAACTTCATTATATGCTTTATTTAAACATTTCAAAAAGCCCTGAACAGTAGTATCACAATCTAATAGCAAATAAATATCGGTCATTTGGTTGACGATCTCTGTTGATCACGCCTCTACATTTCAATATTCATGAATGTTTTATTGAACGATGCAATCCGACAGCCTACGTTATAGGCGTTCTTATGGGGAATGCGAAGGATAAAACTCTCAGGAGTTGAACCCTCCAAGGATGATAGAACGGGGTAGTAAAAAATGTCTTATATATATATATATATATATCCTTAAGAAAAAAACTCGAGGAACACGTTCGTTCTTGATAATCCATTAAAAAAAATGTATTATTAGTAATGTTAATTCTGTATCAAAACTGGAAACCTGGAAACTGATCAAGAAATGCCTCAAAATTGAGATACATTACATGCATTCCGAAAGACACTGTCCTAAGTAACAAAAAAATTGTAGTAAATAATTAAAAACAAACTAATTAATAATTGACTTAGATAATAGGGAATCCTTATTTTATTAACAAAGGATCAATATCATAAAAAAATTATCATGCATAATTACAATAGAATAATCTTTTTTTATACAGAACTGTATTAAAAAATAATAATCGAAAAGCTAAGAATTGGCTTTTAATACAGAATTGTATTTTAATATATTTTTCCATACCTCTGGCTTATCAAAACAGTAAGTTAACGGCCACGTTCGGTTTACATCAGGAGTGGAATCGAGTTGATGCAATTTGTGCACATCTAATTTTCTGTGTGTTAACTCAATTCTCTTAACCGTTAAAGACATTTTTCACGTTTTCTCTGACGGATAATGAAGGCCGTTTCCATTCCGTGTGCGCTCACATGGGTGCGAGATCCATGGGGGCGAGATATTTATGGCATACGAAAGAAAATTGGATGCTATAATATACGTATATGGCAGGGTTAAAAATCCTGGAGATTTAACCTTTATTTTTCGAGCCAATTTCAGTATTTTTCTGCAGTACGTGTCTGGGCGCGCATACGACCTGATTACGACCAAGTTGTTAGTTGTGGCACAGAAAAGGTTTTTTTGAGGGGAGTTTTCAACGCGTAAATAGTTTGGTGTATAATTCTGAAAATACCGTTCCCAAAATAGAGATCTACACCAATATCTAAAATTACTCATAACTCTGGTATTTTGTGTAATCTCCTTTAGATTCTCAGTTACAACCTTATTATATATACATATTTCTTTATGCAAGTTGTACTCTTTTAATGCTTACAAAAATAGAACGTCAACTTCTTTTAATGTAATTAACGATTCGTGTATATTTTCGATTAAGGATACTATATCTCCCCTACCCTCGCCCGCATCAACTATATTGTGTGTATGCTGCTAACATTTTGTACCCCACACCGAATGTTGTTACACGCTGTGTATCATTAATCATCCGGTCACGCACCGAGGCACTAATCGCCGAATCGGCGTACCGTGAATTGTAAGTATTGTAGGCATTGCAGAGGGGATAAAGTGTAAGGGTTAGAATTTGTGTCTCGTCGCAATAACATTTCAGGGATAGAAGTTGATTTTCAGTGGACCAAACGCAGCTTATGTACTAATGATTTGTGATCGTAGAACAAGCCTAGGAAAAGTATTAGCGTGTATAACCCTTCACTGAAACACAAACAGTAAAAGGGTTGTGTTTGTTGATAGACCAATAATGATTTTCCTCTAGTTTCCAGTAATTTTTCTCTTCGAACACTTTCCCTTCTTATGCTTACTATTGCGTTCTCCCTTCAATTTTCTCTTTTTCGTGCATCATAATCCTCGAAAGAAATGTCAAACGCAGTGGGGAAAATGTAATTGCTGTTGATTAACTTTTCTCCCTCTCCGCCCTATTTCAAAGGTTCGTATTTTGATGCTCGATGTGCGGTTGTCCACTTATACATCTTACACGCGTTTGGGTGGAGTGTCGTGTAGTGTGAGCCACTTGACTAACAACTCTGTTGAAAATACGGCAGAATTCCCACCGGGCATTAGCAGTCCCCGAGTGAGACTGGTTAATGTTGTTTGTAATATTTCGTTTATTATATTATCATAATTGCTAATAGTTTGTAAAAATGTAAACAAACTATAATTTATGCAATTCTATTGTAAATATGAATTACTTGTATATTTAATTATTTTATTTAACGGCTGCCTGTCTTCATAAAGTTATTGAATTTATTTACTGACTCTTTTTATCTAAAACAATTTATATCTATAAATTTAATATTAAACTAGATTTAACTGTAAGATATTTTGTCGCAAAAATAATTTTTTAAATATAATGTTTCAAAGAAAACCCCTAATCTAAAAATAATATTGTTGTGACAGAAAAAAAATATCCAATATATATAAATTGCGATCATATTAAAAAAAGAAACCCTCGGAGTAAACTTTTCCCGTAATATAAGAGATTTTAAAACGTCCAAGGGATATGGACGGAGAGATATACAGTAATACGTTAAGGGGTGTTTTCTCTTATACGTGCAAAAGATTACTCGGTTGGTTTATTGTTGTTTATGGAAAAGTGAGAGCAATTTTACTTTTTTCTTTGAACACTCGATTGTAGATTTACTATACAACAAAAAACTAAAGAGTACTATTAAACAGTAAGGAATATCTTACGTTAACTAGTACTAAATAAAAAATTGTTCTTTTTATTCTTCGTAGTACCGTATCTCTATGGTCTATACTCCAACTTTAATATTGAATAATATTTTTATTCTTTGAAATCACGATATTTTTTTTTTTTTTACCAGCGGCCTTGGAATACTATTTTGGCTTAAATCAAACAATTTGCAATTTAAATAATAATAATAGTGGAAAACATAAAATTATAGTATATATGAATGGTTTTCTGTAAGTCTATTAAAACAGCGTATTAACTTCGATATCATTATTATTATTATTATTGGAGTATTAATATTAATCTGAACGAAACTAGTAGATTTGTGTCTGTATTCTTGGGAATTAATCATGAGTCCCATGGTAATCATGACACTTTTAGTACCGTCCTTAGAGTTATAATTTCATTGAACCTGTTTATTATTTTAATTCGCTCACATAATTAATAACACATATGACACACGGATATTTTTTAAATTAAACTAATACATGTATCACAATTTCCATGACTTCTGTTTTACTCTAGTTTACACAATGTCATTTTCAAAAAATTAAAATATTATTCCCACACAGTTTCATCTAACACGAAATAACGTTGTAATATCGATTTAGGGCGCGATATCGAATTCAATAGCCATTAAATGCAAAAGTTGCTAATTTCAATGTTCAAACTCCCCCAAAAATAAAAACATCCAAGTATAAAATACAATCGACAATTCTCTAATGACGCGTTTATTATTGATTTAAAATGCTAAGACTTTCTACGGTAAAGCTCAGGATTAAGATGAAAATTTATTTTCACTTTCAAGATTAAGTTCCCCGAGGAAAATTCTAATAAAAAATTAGCATAAGTTATTAGTTGTTATCCAGAAAGACTAATAATTCATCGCACTCCTGTTTAATGATTAAAAAAAAAAAAACGTTTAATGATAGTGAAATGAGTTCTTCTACTGTGTTGTTTAGAAGCGCGTGAAAAACTATTGCGGATTGTTGTACGATTATTGATACACGTTTTTACAGCGAGTGTGATTTTTTTCTCGTTACAATGCCCCTTTCGTAATTATAAATAAGCGAAGTAAGTGGTACGACGACAACAGCTGCTTGCCCAATATTGTTATTGCTCCGTGTTGATTAGGGACTACATGTGACGATGTCGCCGACCTACCGGCAACGGGGTCGAAGCTCAGAACGCTTTAAGTCACCGGGTGCGTTTAACGATCAACACGTCGTCTATCCCTTATATTATTATCTCATAACGCTCAAGTATGACGTGTCAAACTGGCTCTTGTCATATTTCTACCCCGCCGTCCGCACCGCTGAGTTATAGTATTTCTTTATGGAGAGTAAATTTCATTTTCCAAATTGACATATTTATTTTTGTTCACAGGTTTATTAACGCCCGTCGACGTATCGTTCAACCAATGATAGACCAATCAAACCGAGCCGGTAAGTTGACTTTTTTATACTGCACAAGTAGAGTTCACGTGAACGTGCTTGCCGTGGCTTACTTATTCGATACGGGGACCTGTGTAGCGTAACACGCATCCCTCTCGTGTCAATGACCTATTGTAATCATTCAAATGCCTGTAGCTCATAGAGTATGTTGCAAAGGTGTTTATCGATATTTCAGATATCTTGTGAATACGATTCTTAGAAGTAAACGTTTTTTAACGCAAAAAAATAATAATATTACCAGTATATTTTATTTACGATGGGTTTTTTTTTTTTTTTTTTATATATATACGTACAACTGCGATTTAAAGGAAACACATTTTAAAAATGATTTTTTTTTTTTTTGAATATTTAATGAGTAAATCACGGCGGGATGTCTTGTCTAACGTTAACTACCGAAAGGCAATAATTCAATTATAATACGCGCGGCCGATGTACAAGTTGTCAGGTATATTTTATGAATGTGATTTTTGTTTAACCGTATTAAGTCGTTTCGGAGAAATCTCGGTGGGCAGTTTGAGGTAATAGAAGCTTGCCGGACTTTTTGTACTTTACGAGCAAACGACCAGTAAAATGAGAGTTTTACGGTGTCGAAAGTCGTAAAAACGGCAGCGGGCAATTTGTGCGTTCGCTGAATGGGGAAGGAAAACCTGGCAGCAATTTGCCGGTGGTAATTGGGACTCACGAACAATTTGCCTGCTTTAGCGCTGGTATATGGCAGCAGGAGGAGAAGTTTACTGCCGTTTTCCCGCCGGCGGGCAAATCGTTAGAAACTGGAAACGGTTACTGTGACGCCGTAAAAACAGGCAGTCAAAAACCGTTACACGGCGGTAGTAAAATGTTCAATGGGAAAACCCGGTGGAAAATAATTGTGAGGGGGTGTGTGCCGGAAAATCAAGTAACGAGTTTATCGCCGCCATAAACCCTCAGCGTCAACTACCATCACAGCAGTTTTCCAGCCACTTGCCATTTCACCGTAATTTTATTCCACTCCACCTCTGAGGCTTTTGTCGTCGTTATAGTCTTTATACTCTCGTAATGGAAATTTTATTTGCGCGCTGCAGCTAATTCGTCCATCACCAAAAGTCATTCGGAAATTCTGCTAATTTTATTACGTCAATTCCACTCTTTTACTTTTACTCGTTTCTTCTTTTATAGTTTTATTTCGTCTATTCGCTTGTTGTCAACACTAAATTATTACCTTTGAATTATCGCCACCACAAAATGGTTTTGATTTCTATCGACTGTACACACCTTACTTTGAAAAATTACTTCCCTAAGCATAGCAAGTACCAAACAACACACTATTTTGAAATTATCGCATGCAATTTGTACATGTATTTTCAAATATTCATTTGTAAAACTGACAAAGTAAACTTAGTGATACTCAACCAAGAACTATTTTTAACTCGACTATTATTTATGTCAAACATACCTTTACAGTTTTTATGACAAAATATAATCATAGTAAAGAAATTATTTATTTAAATCATCGGAATATTAAAGTATTCTATTGAATAGATATGAATATTGATCAATATAATTTTATAAAAGATTTTGATAAATCAGTTATCGTTTCTATCGGCCCATATCGATGAAACTTTTATTAGATTAATTTTATTTTTATCATCAAGATTATTGTTGCAGTGCGATTTTTATTTTTAAAAAATAGTATTTTTTTATGCTTGTAGCGTAAAAAATAAAAAACTTTGCGGGTTTCACGAAACAACGTGATATAGTACGGGAAAATAAACAAATTGCTTTCGTTTTGACCGCATATTATTCTACATTGACTTCGTATAATCGCTTTTAATTTATTTTATTAGCTTTCTAGTAACGATTACGCCAATAATCAGTAAGTCTCCGATGGTTAACCACATGCACACGAATAGTATTGATTTTTTGTTAGTGGCGCGACATTTTTCTTAAATTTCTTCGCACCCTGAACGCTTTTAACGTTCGTTGGTTTCGTTTTAGATTGAACGATATATTTTTAGCGCTTGCGGACTGTAATCCATTACTCGTGAATACTGATGAGGGTTAAATCTATTTGATTATGACAAAGATAATTATGGCGCGGTGTCAATTATAAAAGTTTTAGCCTTGTGCGATATACACGTATATTGCATTAAATGTGTCTCGATATTCTGTCGGGATATACATAGTTTAACGTTACACACGACGTAATGATTCGGCGTTAGTTAGGGATCAATTAGACGACAATACTGTGGAAAATCGCAGGGGAGTACACGGCAACGCACTCACTGTGATTTTCTCTCGCCTGCGTTTCCTGGACAGCACCACGCTGCATCCCCTCGGGATCTCCAACCGCCAGCCATACAGGCGCTGTATAATTTCAGTTCATCCATCTCGTATATGTTTCGCCAAAACAGAAATCGACTTTTCACGTATCCCAGGAAAACCACTCTGGGCAATAATAAATTTGCAACCTTACCGGTCGGTAAAATACATTCATCAAAACCCAGTTAATCTCAACGCTTTTCCATTTTTACCGCATTAAAACCTACACATTTATTTTCTCTATAAGAACTCTTTAATTGCAACGTTTCCGTTGCTTTTTTTGTTACAGTGTTTTCTCCACATGCCGGTGGACCAAGTCCTGCTGGATACGGAGGTCCGGATCCTTCGGCGTATGCCGCTGAAATGTTGCCAAGACCGGACGCGGCTTACGCTGCGGCCGACGCATACTATGGTCACCACCCGCACCCTCAATACTATGGGCACCTGTGAGACACCCTGGTATGAAGAGACGCACAAAACCGAATGTGCGCGACGAAGACGTCTGTGTAAAGTTTCTATCGTGTATATTTGTTTACTAAAATATTGACGACTGTATTTTGCATATTTTTTGGAATATCGCTTTTACTTGTACACCATACAAAAAAAATGAATCTGTATAAAAAAATTATAATTTTTTTTTTTTTTTTTTTTAGTAGCGAGAGACTACTCTTGCCCTGTCGTTACGGTAGTAATTTAACTAAACTATATTTACTACAACTTTCAATCTACTCCCTCTTCCCATATTGTTAAGGTTGCCTATTATTATTATTATTATTATTATTATTATGATTATTATTACTTTTTTTTTTGTTGTATCCATCCAATTTATAAACTTATTTTTATTTTTTGGCGATCATAGTATTATGATGTTAAATCGATTTTGTTTTTAGTTACCACGATGAACGTTCAATTTCTATTATTATATAGTTGTACGACATTATTTAATCTCGATCGCAATACCTAGTAATAATTTAATACTATACATAAAAAAAAAAAAAATTCAAACAAATTGTTAATTTTGCCCTGTGCCAGTACATAGATGTAAATAATTTTATGTAAAATTTTGTATGTAATATTTAATGCCATGTATGATGACTGTGCGTATACGACACAACTCTATGTATAAATATATACATAGATATATATGTATGTACATAGGTATGCAGACTGTGTATACGATTTTTAATTCTATGTGTATTGTGATATATAATTATGTAATAAAATAAGTGTACTCGATTTTACGGCGGAGTCCTTTGGGTTTTATTTTATAGCAATGTTGAACTACTCAATCTATTTTCCTATCTAAACAAACGCCTCTGCTCCCAAACTGTGTCCAAATAACATCGGATTTATTTATTATTATTATTTCATTGACAACTTTTAAGTTTTACTGTGACCTTGGCAAATGCGACACTTGGTTAAATTTAAACGACCTAGGCGAAAAAAATTAACTCAACATGATTTTTTATTATTTTTAGATAAATTTAGATCGAACGAATTTCGAGAAGCCCTGCTACATCATAAAATGATAAATTTTTTAATTTGAGTAAAAGGCTCATCGAAAATTATTGCTGGGTAAACGGTTTTGCTTCGAAATTACTCACCGTGTGTTTACTTATAACAAACATGATTATTTCAGCTGTTATACGTCATGACAATTGTAACGGCAACGAATGAAGAACGCGTTATAAAAACCAACCGAAAAACATTTGTTAAACTTTTTAACATATGATGTCGTATTGGTGTCAATTAGTAAACATGAATAGCTAGTGTTATACCAGTAAGTCAAAGAAACGTGCGGTTTCTTATTTTAGGACAACTTCATCTGTTTTTTTTTTTTTTGTTCGGTAAACACTTCATGCTGTTTCGCAAGTCGTTTTGTACAACTTAAATATTTGTCATTACGTCGGTAAAAATATGCACATCAAAAAACTTGTCGATTTATTGAGTTGCGGATTACTGAAAAACCGGTTGTCGGTTTTTTGACAACGATGAAAAATCTGCGACCATTAAAAAAACAGTATATAAGGAGCCCGACATGATATTTTCCAATCCATCGCCATTTCACAATCTGAGTGTTTAGCAACGCATACGTGTTACGCTGGACGACGCCTCCCGCTGTTCACCGTAACACTTTGTGGCATTTCAATGGCGCGTACATTGTCTACGCGCACAAAGCGTGTACAAGGCAAGTCGATGGCGTTACGCCGCTCGCCCATCCTCGGCCAGTACTCCCCGTCTTCGCCCTGCAGTCAGCCCGGTCGTGTGTGTGTGTGTGTGCGCGCACGCTCCCGTCGCGCCGCCGATGGACGAGCGACGGCAGCGTGACGTGATGTACACACTAACACCGCCAGAAACAGCAGTAATGGACAGGCGGCGTATGATATGGAACGAGTGTATACAAGCGGAATCGACTCGCCGGCCGTTGCTCGTGGCAACCAAGCTGGGCGGCCCGTGACCGTGCACCAGTGTTCGCCAGGCGGGACCCGTGACGTTGACAAACGATTGGCGGCTGGCGCCTGTACGCCCTCCTTCACTACTCAATCCGCACAACTTCCATTTGGTGTGCGTATAAACCCATCGCACAAAAGTTCGCCCACGCGTGCTAACAATGTGTAGAGAGCACACTTTTCAAACCGAGCGTCGTATACTTAATGTATATGTGTGCGTGTGTGTGTGTGTACTCCACACGTTTTGTACTTTCCTAGAGATGTAATATATATTATTTATGCCGCGAGCTTTCGAATGCGTGTGAAAAAGCTGATATTTCAGACAGCAACAAAGTGTTGTACAGCGATTCGGTGATAAAAAACAACTCTTTCGCTGAATTACAACGCCGTTAACGAGTTATCGATCTTGCCCATGTGCCCCGTGATGCAATTATTTTTTTTAAAACACAAAAATCGCGCCGCGTCATCCGTTTCTGTGTATCGACTTAGGTCGGTACATAATACAGTACCGAGAAACCATCGTGTTAAGGGGTGTCGTTCGCCACCGCCGTGTGTAAGATCGTATCGATAAAAAAAAAAAAAGTACCCCACGCACATATATATATATATATATATATTTATTGGAGTTGAAACGATAGCTGTCAATAATATTGTATACGACGCACCCCAACCCGCGGCCGACCCCTGTCCATGTAAAGTACAAAATATGCAGGTGTGAATAACCTCGTCTACTATGCCTGTGTATATTGGTGTAGCACACCTTGTGCGCATTTGGACAAACGCATGACGTCCCTCAACTTGGAATAAAAAAGTGGCACGCGTTACGGACGTGGGAGAAATTCTAACTCAATATTTCTATTACATTATTATTAATATTTAATTTTATCTCTCTAGGACGAGGGTGACACGGTCGGACTCGTCCGAAACCCTCGTTTTTATCTAGCTGAGTGCAGTCGAACACTCCAAAGGAAATGTTTTTCTCCGCGGTATCTTTCCACTTCCTGGCCAACTATTACTACTAATATTGTAACGACTAAACCATATCGTCCCTTTGTAATATTAAACGCCTCAAAGGAAACCGACAATGTCGTTTGACGCGGCGGCTCTCCTCGTTCGATTTTACACACGTCGAGTAAAAAAACTGCGAACAATGTCACTAATTTAATTTAACTTAAGCGCCGTAATTTAACTGCGTTGATTTTTCATTAATACTAGACAGCGACGTGCTCAATGTGCTGTATTATACGCGTACAAGGCGCGAACGCGTATCTTTCGACGTTGGAGACTTTTTTTATAGGTATTGAAAAAAACGCGCACTGCTTTTCGGTATCTCTTTGAAACACTCGCCATGTCATAAACTTCCTCCTACGATCTGCACACACCATAATCTCTGCGGAATATCGGAAACACCTCCTAATGTATGGCATTATGACCACGAGTCGATGACTACTGTCGTGATGTTGCATATTCATGCGGCAGTGTTTACCATAGGGATGTGTTATCGCTCGTCCACCACACCCCAGTGTGCCGTGCAGTGGTCTATCATAAATCACACATAACGCTATGTGAAAAAAAAACCGTTGAAAACAATTACTAAGCAAATTTTTTAACACGAGCACATTAAAATTATCGGTTGAAAAATGTAGTGTTAGAAATTATGACATATTTCTATTTTGAGAACTTGAAAGCTTTTGCGCTAAAAGCGTATTGATTTTACTGTTGTATGGTTTTAAGTTTTGTTTTGTCTGTAATTGATTTTAGAAAGTCATGTCGGACTCTTATTCTTTGTGGTGTAATTTATTGAGCTAAAATCGCAATTGATGCCCTGGGTGGGTGGTCTGTGTAAGGAAAAAAAAACTCGGTCGTTTGCCACCGAAAATGATAAATGAAATGACTTTTCAGTCGGTAAAACATTCCAAATCCAAGGAAAAAATCGAGAACTCGGATTGTCCTTTTACGTATAAAAAGCTCTCATATATATATATATATAAAATACAGAAAATATTTCTTAAAATTCTATTATACCATAAAGTAATCTTTAAGACACACGATTTTATGCTACACAAGATTTACACATAATTTGTAAAAAAATGTTAAATAATTTTTTTTTTTTAATAAGTTCTGGCGGGAACTTAACAAAAAATAAGATGTCTAGTAAAAAAAAAAACTAAAAGAGTATAAACATAAATGCAAATTAAAACTTACATTCATATCATGCGAGTTAGACCATCTCTATTATTTCACAAAATAATGATTTTATCATGAGGTTATTTAATTGTTTCAAGTTTGCACAACACGAAACTCATAATTCTAATTTGTATTATTTGGGAATTGATAATGTGTAGATGTTCTCAAAAAAATGTATTTGAGTTTTCACATACATGACGTTTTAAACGCATACAATATAAAGATTAATTTTGATAAATAGTAGTAAAAACGTTATACTTGTAAAATGTATACGAATTAAAAATAACACTACTCGTTTACATAATTAACGTGTATATTAAAAATACCAAACAAACGTATAGGAATTTTCGAAACAATTCTTACAGTGTGTATATTCAGTTTAAATTACATATTATTACCACGTACTTGATTTTCCTGGTCAATTTCGTTCTCCTTCGTTAATATATCTATTTCACATCTACACACAAAGATGTTTGAATAAATCTAATGACTATAATACACTAATATCACTGAGTATGTTAAGCAAACACATGTCACTACATTTATTGAAAATAATTTTTTTTAATGATTCATGTGTAGTAATGTAAAATGACCGTAATAATCTCTTTTGAGTATATTTCGGCAATTTTATTGAAAATAAAATTGTTTTTATTTTACTTTACATTAATGTAAAATGATTCTGAATTGCTCAACAAATAAAAAATTGGTTACTTCCAAATCTTTTTACTTTCAGATAATTTAACCATCGAAGTTAAAGGTCTAACTAAGAGTCTACTTTGAATAAAAATTAACCAATATTATGTTTTTACTTTACTTAACAATTTAATTGGGCAAATTAAGCCCAATTAACGTTCATTATATTGAATATTTTTTGGCTAGGAAATTTTCAATTTCATCTATACTAAAGGATTTTTTTGGGAGAGTTACTTTTTTTAATCTTTGAACATCAAATAACACATTAAGAAGCCATAGAAATACAAAAAAACATTAAAAATTAATATAGAATTAATATAAATAACACCTATAGACATGTAAAATATTAATAAGCCATAGAAATGTAAAAATATTAAAAAGTCGTATAATCATTTTTTGACTTAAATGATTTTCAAGGAGTTTTAGTATTTTTTTTTTGTCGTACGACTTTCAAACATGTAAAATATGATTATTCTTCCGTCATAAATTTTCAATAAATATGATTACTTCCAATCATTTTCAAGTTTGATTAAATATTCTTAAAGAAATTATTTAGTAGTATTTATTTGTTTTAATTCTACTGTAATAATTAGCAATAGAATATTCTCAAGCATATTTCTGTTCCCGATAATATTTTTTCCTTGCATCACTAGATGATAGTACGAGTAAGATGATTCATTTTAATCGAAAGGTATGTTCGGTTCTTATAAAATTTATGGGAATTGCTCATATTAAAAAGTTCGCATAAGTATATGATTTAAAGAATAACAATAACTTTGATACTTCCCCGCCGTTGTAATCTAGATAAAAAGTACCAATTTTCTCGTCTTAAATTGCTTCTTATGTGATTATTGAAAGCCCTTTAAATTTTATTAGAAATTAGAAAGTTTAATGTACTTGGACAACGTGCA